CATGTACTGATAAAAAAGAATATGTCAATATTGCTATCTAATGTTTTATTTATTCTGTGGACGCATCGTTTAAAATTTTTAACAATCCCTGATAACCAAACGTTAACAGTGTTGATTACATTTGATCAATTTGATCAAAATTGCTGTCAATCTGTCAATATTGCTAACATTTTGCTTACTGGGAGTGCTGCATAGTTTGTAACATAAACTTACGTTTTTTATTATTGTTTTGCAGTTCTCGCAATTTCACGTTTATCTCATTGTCTCTTATTCCAGTGCTGTTTAAGGTGTTCTTCAGCTTGAATACAGCTTGCTTCTGAGCCTCTAATTCGGTGTTCGCGTTTTTGACTAGTTTATCGTGCTCTTTCGCTGTTTCCCACTGCTGCGAAGACTTTGTCAATGCTTCCTTGGCGTCATCCAACAGGGATTTTTCTCCAGATGGAGGAAAAACCTTGAGAAAGAATTATTTATATTATTTTTTAAATTGCTTTTCATAACGCATCGCACTAAAGAAAATGTACATTCTAATGTTTTAGGCCTACCAAATGTTATAATATTACATTGTAAAGTATTATAAAAAACTACAGCTAGAATTCTAAGGAAATATGATCATTTTTTACCTTTCCGTGCACTTCTTCAACAATTTCGTTGGCTGCCTGCGCAATAATCTTCGCCGATTGTAGGTCATCGACGATGTTCTTGTAGACCTGGCTGGCTTTTAGAGGACTGGCTGCGATATCGCGTGTCTCAGCGAATAGACTGTTTAATAAAAATGACAAGTTGTGTTTGGTTTTGATAATGACATTATTCATAGCGACAATAACGTTATCAGCCGTTTTGAACTTAACGCGATTGCCGATTTAATTAATTATGCTAATCTCACCCAACATATTGGTCGACAGCACTGGCCAGATTTTTCGCATGTTGCACTGCCGGCATAACATATTTCTCAGTATATTCATAATTCAGTCGTTCCAAATGCTCCTCCTTCATACTCAGCTTCTCGGTCCAATGCGCCAGTTTGTTTCGTGAGTCCGGAAGGTCCTGGAAATTCGTAATTAAGAACAGATACAGATTAAGCATTTATAGCCATTTATTACTATATTAGGAGTGATAATTAATTTTATTTCTTCTATATTATTCATTTACAATTATTATTTTCAAGCTATAAAAGTGTATCTTTTTTAAGATATAAAAATATCATACTTGAATATTATTTTCCGCATCTATGAGCAAACCGCGAGCCTCGTCAACAAGTTTTTCTCCGTCGGTGAGTGATTCGTTCGTCTCGTCGCGCAACATCTCGATACGAACACATTGATTTTTGGTCTCGGCAAGTGTGCTGTTGATATTGTTGTATAAATTGTCATAGTTGAACAGCGTTTCCATGGTGTTTTCTATGATTCTTCTCATATCCTTTAGCTTTACCGCATAATCTTCAGCGTCATCTTGGGCAGCTGCCAACGGCTCGGTCGCGTTGTAAAGCGAGTTCAGCCATGATGTATACTTGGCAAATTCACTGGTTAATTCAGAAGAATTATTTATAAACAATGATTTAGGAAAAATTATATGTTCACTAAAAACTTATTAGATTTAAAAGAAATGTTTTTCCCGGTGTTCCAATTTTTATTAAAAGTTTCTCTTTAATTGAGGAAATACTCACTCAAGAAAGTCTTCGACTTCCATGGTCTTTTTAGTTATGTCGACAGACTTCAAATGATTTAAGATTATTTTCGCAGTTTTTAAAGCTTTCTTGATTTCTATTTTTCTATTGTTATTGGTGTATTGATTGAGTTGCGAAATCGTATCTGAAATTCAAAGATAATGTAAAGTAAAAGATTTATACTGTTATATAATTATTTTGACAAAGAGCATCGCAATACCGTCTATATCTCTTCTCAATTTATTCAACTCGATTTTTGCGGTAAAAATATTATTTTTCAAGTCGTTGCTCTTGATTCTCGACGTATCGGCATACTTCGCATGCTGGTTTACCTACAAATTAAAATAAAACAAAAGATAAAAAAGAATTGTTTAAAAAAACCATATAATTCGTTAATTTTCTTGAATATTAATTTATATTATAATATTTAGCATTTATATTAGAATAACATACACTTCTCAACATAACTTCGACATCTTCCATGAATTTCCTGTATTCGTGCCAAGGTACTTTCTTCATTCTTTGCTGTAGACGAGTTCGCAGCTCCAACTCCTCGAAATATAAAGTCGCATTGGTGTCGATATACGTCAGTTCTTGCCACGGAGGTGGAATGTATCCGTCTGCTATATGGCTGGTTCTCGCGGCCAAATCCTCAGACAGCATTGCGGTGGTGTCGAGTAGAATCCCCGTGCAATTGTCATTGCACGCTAACAAATAACGTCGAATAATATGATAAAACAGTTTGCAGCAGTTACAATCAAAGATTAATAAAATAAACAACGTGCTAGATGCTATGTCAATTAAGAAAGTCAATTTTGTTATTAAATTCTTTAATTTTATAAGTAAAAAAATAAACAATTATATAAAATAATATTTATGTAACAAATAGGGAATTAAATTAATTGTGAATACACTTAAAATTATAAACGTGTTGACATGGAAATCCAACATAATTTGAATCAATATGGCATACAAGTTAAATATGCGAATAAACTTACAAGTGCAAACATCGTTTATGTAAACATGACGATACGCTGTGCACTGAGAGCAATCCCTGCCGGTAGAGTTAGGCCTGCATTTGCACTGTCCCGTTTTGCTGTCGCAAGCGTCGCTCAAACTTCCTGCCAAGTTGCAGTTGCACGGAACGCATTTACCGTCCGGAAGACCAGGAGAGCCGTAATAACCGTAGGCGCAGTGTTCGCATTTTCCACCGACGTAACCTGCGGCAAGTAGACGGCGGATGTACAGAAAAAATAAAAAAAAAAAATAAAATAAACGGATGCGGGCAATTAATGTCGAGAATTTTAAATAACATACAATTTCGATATTACAAACGAAATTGACGTATTGCTATTTGTTGGATATTTTCGATATTCTAAGATCAAAAAATATTCAAGTAAATTACATGGAATGTATATATATCATAAAATTAGAAATCACATACAAATTAAAAATTTAATGTTTCTATTATCTATGAAGAATTGTTGAGAGATAAATTAAGATTTAGGATATTAAAAGAAATTAATAAAGTATATGTTTCTTTTGTAAATTTTGTATTATCTCTTTTCATATACCTGGCTTGCAATGACAAATGGGTTCATTGTCCGCGCGAACCACGCAAGTACTGGAAAACCTTTTATCGACTTGCGGGCAAGGACACGGCTTACAGCCTCCGAAATCCGGATGACCGTAGAAACTTTCAGCGCAAACGTTGCAGTGTGCACCAATCGAGTTCTCTCTGCAGTTCTGCAACACATCGGTTTTCGATATTAAAAATTGTTCAAACATTAACACTTTTTCCAATAAATCTATATTATTTTGTTTTATCTTTACACTACTAAAAAAAATTATTTACAAAACTAATTTATTTCTTTTCTTTAACTTCTATTAAAAAATGTTTCAGTTATCATTTCTGCAACAGTTATTCCTAAAAATTGCATATTGTAAATAAAAAAATGTATAAATCTGCATAATGCAGATTCAAAGTAAAAAAATTTATCTTGTTTCAACTTCAACCCATCTTGCACACTTGTCTCCTAGCACACTTCCTGTCGCGTTATCATCTGCATGAATAGTGTACACTTGTAAGAAAATGTTTGCGTAATGCTTACCAAGCAATATCCTGTCTCCCTGTCGCACACCTCGGATCTGCTGTTGCACTGGCAGCGCTTAGCTTGTCCGACAAGATCGATCACGATGGTGGACGTGGCGGTGGTGTTCTTGTACCACCTGTAGAAGCCGACACTGGGGTCCTGGCAGGACGTGCCGTTGTATTCCTGCGGACATTGGCAGATCTCCACTCCAGTCGCCAGCGATGGTGAGTGCGTGGGCGTCAGGACGGCGGCGTCGAGAGATGCCTCCAGAAGCCTAGACAAGACGCATCAATTGAGCAAAATATTGTTAAAAGTGTCTATTTTTGATAAGATTTATATAGATTTGCACGTCGAATGAGAGAAATTTTTATTTTCGCAAATTATTTCTTTATCAAAAATTGTGTGTGTAAAAGTGAATATTAAAAAATAAATATATTCGAATCAATTTTATTTTGTACGATGTATTCGTCACATACGTGGTTTTCGTAAACTCGGCGTTGTCCGAGGCTTTCACAAGAATGTACTGCAGATTCTGCAATGCCACCATCAGTACTTCCCTGGAAACTTTGTAATCTGGCCTATTTTGTAATTGCCACAGTGACTCGTGGAACCTAAAATTATGTTAAGCGTATATTTTAATTGCACAGTGTAACGAGAAAAGTTTCAATAAATTGTTTCAAAAATTCTGTAATGCAACAAATCATTCATTAAGTTTATTTAATTCTTATGTGATATAGAACTGCATACTTCTTTTCTCTGTTTTCAATTAATTGCATTATATAAACCACTACAATTATTAACTATTTCGAAACTACGAATACCTGACTTCGTAGCGATTATCGTTCACCGGCAGATGCAAATAATATTCCAAGACAATCTTATTGTTGCCTTGTAACTGCACCACGGGATATCGAAGATTCGATCTCAGAGGTATTCCACCTTCCGTTAAGGTTTTAAAGCGTAAGAATCCTCCATAAGAGACGACCTTAAAAGATTCATGTACATAAATAATGTTTTAATATTAAACTTAAATGTAATGTTATATTAAAATGCATCTAGAGTTACTTTTTAAAGAATATTTAGAACATTTGTGCCGATCAAACTGAAAAATTACCTTATCGCCCAGAAAAGAATCTGGCAGTTTCCAATATAAAGGATAATTGTAATAAAGGTTGAAGGGCAATGTGACGTCACCATCGGACTCGGAGATTACGGAGAGCCCGTTTGTCACGTTCAAGCCACCGTTCACCGTTGATAGTATAATCGTGGAGTTAAAGTTCATTATCTGCTTAATAATATGGCAATTAGATGATGGTAACGTGTATTAAATATTGCTCGATAAAATTCATCAATTTTCGTTAAAATTTGTCAGCTGAAACAGATCTTACCGTTACATCTCTGGCTGTATCATTGATATAAAGAACACGAGGACGTGTCAATCTGTGTTGACCCCAACTGAGTCCAGCCTGCTGACACAGTGTACTTCTACCGAAGCAGAAGCACTCAGTACATCCTTTGATGTTATCCGCCGCGAGACCGAATGTACCTTCCTTGCATTGATTGCACTGTCGTCCGAGCACCAATTCCTCAAAAATTATTTTTCAGTTAATGCCAAAAAGTAAATAGACATATAATTTCAAAAGTTAACTATATCAATTTTCGAAGAAAAGTCGCAAATTCGAAAATAATTCCCACAAATTCTTCGGTTGTATAATTTTTAATCAAAATCTTATGCAGAGAAAAGTATCGATTTGAAAAATTCATTTTACATCTTTCATAATTTATTGTACAATTATAACGGATTAAAAGCTTCTCTCTTAATTTCATTTCTTACTTCTTCATGAATTTTTCATATTTTTTTTTTTTTTATATTAATACATTTTCAACAAGTTATCTCCGTCTCACCTTGCAAGGACACTGTCCTTTGTCGTTGCATTCGCAGACACCGTCTCGGCACTGCGTTGTGCCGGCGATATTGCAACCGCAGGGTCGACACCGTGGATATCCGTAGTAACCCTTGGCACATCTCTCGCACCTGAGCCCGTCGTAGCCGATTCTGCACGGACACTGGCCTTGACGGTCGCACTGAGTCCGTGTGGCACCCAGAGTACAGGCGCAGGGTTTGCAGCCGACACGCGGCACGAGGTCCCACGCATCAGGCATGCATCGGTCGCAGTGCTCGCCGTAGGTCAAGCGGGGACACACGCAACGACCGGTGTCGGGGTCACACACGTGACCGGGTCGCACACATGAATCGCACACTGCGGGGAATGAATGAAAGTTCTCTCGTTTGCTGCTCAGTTCGTCGAGATTTTATGGAGGTAATAAAGAACGCAGGTTGAAAATTGATTGAAAGGAATGAATCGTCCAATATCGCTCTTTGTACAATTTTAAAACAATTCGCAAAATATAATATAGCAGCTCATTATTAAAAAAACAAATTATTTGCAAAGTCTCGAAGATGCGCGAGTAAAAATAGCAAAGTACTACTTATTGTCTAATGTGAAATTTAATAAAGAAAATATGATTTGTACATAAAATTTGTTGCGTGAATGAAAAGAATTGCAAAATATTTAATAACATTATCAAGTATTATAAATGTCTGTAAGATAGTGATTTAGCTCACCTTGACAACCATGCGATGAAAATCCGTAATATCCAGACAGACAAATGTCACAACGTGAACCGCCTACACCCGGCTTGCAATGGCATTGTCCTGTGTCGCCGAGGCAGGATGCGTTGTAGGATCCCATAGGATCGCAGCCGCAAGGCGCACAACCTGCTCCCGATGCCAATCCCCAGTAACCACTCTAAATAAATTTTATTAAACTTAGTGAACACTCATCGCATTCGAAATACAAATGCAAGATGTACAGATCATCGCAGAATTGATTAATATTCTTCTAAAAGTTACACTATTAATAAATAATAAATGGAACATTCTAAATGTCGATCGTAAGTTGGAGAACAAAACTGTCTTATATCACAAGTCAGGTTAAAATATAGTATCTACGATTATCGCAAAGAATGTATCAATTCTGCGATTTGACGTGACCACCGATTACGACAGACAATATGATTTATTACGGCTGACTTATGCGTGGCGGTATCACTGTTGCATTACTGAGTTTTTTTTCTTTCCCGATATTTTATATCCGTGGTTGTGTGCAGTTATGGAGTAGTACATTTGTCTTCGTTATTAGATACCTGCCTAGATAATGTAGCAACGTTACAGATGACTGAGTTTATCTCAATCGACATTTAATATTGTATCGTAAACTTGACTCTCTCTTTCCGACCTGCATCTTACTATCACCAATTGTCTCGCTTGACTTAAACATATAAATCTATCGTAATTTATAGAGATAAAAGTGCGAAGAAAAGTAAAGAAACTTTTTAATTGATTTGTTTTTAATTGATTTGGGAAGCAAAAAAATCCCTTTATTTTGTTGTGGAATGTATATATTACATTATACGATAAAAAAAAGTCTTACCATGCATTCGTTGCACTGCCTGCCGACTACCTGGGGTTTGCATTGACATTGTCCGGACACAATATCGCAGACAGAGCTCATGGAACCCAAGTTGTTGCAACCACATCCTGCAATCATACGAAAATTACGTCTTAAAAATAATAATTTATTAATTTTAAAAACGGCCGTATCTTAATAATTAATAAACTCTAAGCAAATATAAAAATACGCAGACATTTAAAATATTGCTCTTTTAAAAATGAATGATATTAAGTTAAAATGACTGCATTTATTCGAAGACGACAACGCTAATAATTTTCAAGTGTCAATGATTTCTATTGTTTCACTCTCAATATGAGATTTTTCAATAGAAGGGATGATAAAGGAGCTGCAAAATTTTTGAAGCGACGAAAGCCTTAATTAGACGATCACCGAGCAGGCATTGACAAGCGTCGACAGCGGTCTCATCAATAATTCATACAGCATTATTCTCGCTTTCGCGCTAATTGCGCATAACTGATGAACGCTTATGCCGTTTCCAATCGATTTATGCGGCACGAATTCTTTTTCGGGTGCCGTGTAATAAATCCGCGGCATGATCGACGATGCTCGCGCGTATACGCGCGGCTCGTCGATTTCGTTCGGCGCGTGGTCACGCGTGAGCGGCTTGTTTATGCAGTATCGAGCGGATTTTGCAATTAGCGATGCCGTCGCTGCGAGCGCCGCATTGTATTCAAATGCCGCAGACGACGGCTGTCGTTCTCGCACAAGAGGGACTGTCGCCCCGTAATGCCGCGGAAATTATAAATTATGCATGGTCGCATCGAGTATCGTGGTTGCCTCCTATTGATTTCCTATTAACGATGGCCCTTGCAAAGGGATTGCGCGCGAGAATTGATTCGATGACGCAATTGCATGTTTACACGCCGCTGTAGTTTGATTGAATGCCGAGAGACATTCATACGTGATTATCATGAATAATAAAAAATGAATAATACCTGTAAGAGCCGTACGATGTATACAGTGAAAAATACAAGTTATTTATCTGTATAATATTTCTCAAAGAATTAAATCCTTTTTTAAGAATTCAAAAAAGTTGTCACGAATTCAATTAAGTTCTTTGAAGAATGCAAATATGGCTTTTAATGATTATAAATGTTATTAATTCACGCATTTAACACTGAGGACTCTATCAATCTTGTTACAAGACATTATACAATGTATCTACAACATAAATATTCGAGTGAAATGAATAATTCACGTTTGTTTCTCTATTAATCATGTCACATAAAGCATTATTCCTAAATGATTATGTGCACAATTCTGTTGTGTGAATAATTCTGTTGCATAATTGAATAATAATTATCTTGTACGAGAAAAAAAAATCAAAGTCTCGACAATATTATAATACCGCATCATTAAATCCAATCAAATTACAAGTCATCAAATATTAAATAAAAATAATTATTCGCACGATTATGTGCAAACAAAAATTTTTATATTATGAAATTCAATTTATATGTAAATAATTTTTAAGTAAATAAGTAAATTATATGAAAGAAATTCGTCAATCAAAGTGCACATAAGACCAAAGACTGGTAGCTATTGTTGATATCATATGAAAACATGTGCAAACGCATTACATGCAGTAATGCGTTGATAACATACAATATTTCATTGACTCACTCTTGATCGAGAGTTGAATAAAATTAGCAATTCTGACAATTAATTAATGATTCAATAATCAAGAAGCCAGTTAAGATGTTGCAAAGACTTCTTTGCTGCACATTATATATTGTAAATTTCAAGATTATACTGCCATCTTATCAATTACTTTAGAGAAGATATCACAAGTTTCTAATTAAAATGCACTTTGAGGTGCAAATAGAAATACTTATAAGACCATCAGTGCTAAGAAGCAAAATATTTTATTTGATATACGATTAAATTCTTATTATCTAACTTTCTAAAATAATTCTCACTTTCTATATTTATTCGTGTACAATATAAAAATTATAATAATTTAATACAAAAATGAAAAAACCTTTTTGCATACATGCGTGGTAGAAATTTTTGTGTTGTGTTTTATTTATTCGTGTCAATTGCAAATATGTGATATCTCTATCCAATTCATTAAAAAAAGCATGAGAAGTCAATACTTGAATGTATCGAAAGTCTCGAAGTGTATTGTTTTCCGCGACGCTGATTGGTTATCTCGATTATTCTGACAGTTTAATAGTTTAACAGTAAAAGTTATTTAAAATAAAAAATATTTTATTAAAATATCTAGATTTCATAATTATTAAATTATTATAATAAGTACATGCGCGTGGCGCGAGCCTGTATTGTTCTAGTATTGTTAAAAAATGCCGAAATTATTTTTATACGCAGACAAATAACTGTTAAAGTGTGCTTTTAAAAATAATGTTTACAAAAATATTATAAAATATTAAAATATTCTCTATTTTACGAATCTTCAAGATTAAATTTAAAACATTAAAAACTGTTGTTATTGAGCAATACAAAATGCAAACCAATAATCCGGGGTCTCTTAAACAAAAAAAATCGACATTGATTATGCCATATTTGAAAATAAATCAGATGGATAAGTGCACTGTAATAATAATTTTTTAATGCAATCAGTCAATTAAATCTATTTCTTTTTGCAATCGGTATAACAATTGCATTTAGGACAGATATATAAATTCGAAAAAATACATAGATTTTTTTTATATACATAGCCCTCCTAATTTGAGAAATTTTACTCGATGCATAATAAAAATACATAAATATATTATTTGTGCATTATTTCTCATAAAATATATTCGTGTAAAGAATACATTGTAACGTCTCTTTTACTGACAATAATACTTGGGATGAGATATTACCACGTGTTTTGATAATTGTTAGCTAGGTTTGACCGAAACGTTCTGCGCTATACATGTAAACGGTTCTCTCTGTTGGTGTGTAGAAACCGCAGTGTACACTTCTGCCATCACTGAGTATTGTATTTAGTTACACTAGTCCAGTCACTTTAAACGGACAGAATGTCTCTACCAATTATAACTGATAAGACTGTGTAGAAATATTATACAAAAGAGACGGATTATATAGCAAAATGCACATTTTGCGAACAAAGATATTATTATAAAAACACGGAAAACTTCAAAGCACATATAAAAAGTCAACATAAAGAAATTTCGGAAGACCAAGAAATTTCGGAAGACATAGAAAAGAAGAAACTAGTACGATGGAAGTATTGCAAAAATTTAGAGAGATACTCTTTACATTGTGTTATCTGTAATACATATGTTATACCTACATACGAATGCGTAGAACATCATTTAAAGTTGCATTCTGAAGAACAACGAAACAATTATATATATGGAACAGATTGGACATGGAGATTTTGGACAGAAAAAAATGATAATGTAGTGGAATGTCATATCTGTTATAAAGATGTATCTCTTTCTCTTTCCAATTCTTTGGATGATCATACAAGAATGAACCATTTGGACGAAGTGAAATATACGCAAAAAGCATACGACACAGCTTGTTCGTCAGAACGTGTTACATCGCTTGAAACGGACACAATGTTTGAGTCACTAAAAAATTATTTTAAATCATTCCACTCATTGACGTAAAATGCATTATTTGTAATGAGAACGTTTTATTTTTATCTAAAAGATTAGAAGAATATTTACGCTTCAAATCTGACAGCAATTAAAAAGACATACATCTCAGAGTTGGCTATAAAAATATGCACCAAAAGTGATGATTTTGAAGTAAAACATAACATTTGTTACACAGAAACATATCTATTGCTATTACAACTCATTTCAATCACCATATTAAAGATGAACATCATTTAGCAAGCCAACTAAACTAAATAAAAAAAAACAGTAAGTTTTATTGATATTATTATTAACATCATTATAAGTAAATAATTTTTCATCTTTTTCAAATCGCGCTTAATTTATTAAAAATATACAATATAACGATCGTACCAAAAACAAAATGATTATTTATCATGTAAATATTATAATTATCTGTACAGATTTATCCAGAAGTTGACAATGGAAATGATGATCCAAGTAGCATCACAACCAGCAATAATGACATTCTTGATTTTGACAATTATAATTTACTATAAGATATACACAAGAAAAGTGGCATACATATATCTGACCTATAATTTTTTGTTTTATGTTTATAAAGTTAAGAGTATAATGACCTATGTTATAGAAAACAAAATTACATTTTTTAAATTTATTAATTATAATTATAATTATAATTTTTATAATTTCAGAAATTCTACTTTATAAATTTAATTTTATAAATTTAGTAAATTTAATTTTATGTATTATAATTATAATTAAAAATTTTACTTATGTGCTCTGTTTTAAATTTGTAAACTGAAACAATTTTAGTAAAATAATCATCGACTTCTCTGTAAAGACAAAATTATCAATAATTAATATAACAATTTAATTTCAAATATTTAATTTTAACATCATTTTCAATATATTTTTATGTTTATGTATTTTCATTACTTTTTATGCTTTATATAAAATAAATTTATTATTATAACTTCTGTGAAAATCTCCCAAATGTATCATAATATACATATTAATTGTCGATAAAATATATCAATTTAAATTTCAAAATTGTATTTATTCAAAAATGTTTATATGAAATATAATGTATTCATCATAATTACAAATAAATTCATTATAAAAAAGTGTCATTTCATTATTTGGAGATAGAATACTGTAGGAATTGTTTATTCTTGCATCAATCATGGCATTTTGCATCATTTTTATAATTCACAATGAGCGGCAGCGGAGTCGTATACAAGTGGATCTATAATATACAAAAGTGCATCTAAATTATAACAGCGTTTAAAATAATTATTTGACAAATAATTATTATACACACTAAACTTTTACTCATCTTTCTTTAATGCAAATATCTAATAACAGAATTATATATTTTTGTCCAATAATCAAAATATTTAAAATTGCAAGTTTTTTACTAAATATTTCAAAGTTACTATGTGCGTTTACATTACGTATCACTTTACGTGCAATATCTTATAAATAATAGATAACAAATAAATGATTGTATA